CGCTGTTGGTTTTCTAACTCCACCATCCCTTCTCGATGGACATTCCGCTGCAAGGAAGAGCTTTCCTAGGAGGTGTGCTAAGTGCCTCTCTCAGGGACTGAGCCTTCTTTCTCTCCTCTTCCCGCTTAGTCTCCAAGCCCACAATCTTTATATCAGGGAGTCTCATTTCTGGGCAATTGGTCTGAGATTTCTGGGGCAAATAAAATCAAAAGAGCTCATAGATCTAGGTCACTCGTCAAAACGTGGGGTGACAGAAATGGGTGTGGTGGCGACCAGCAGGGATGACGCACTGGAATGAAGAAAAGGGTTGAAGCTCAAATGTCACTTGGGACCCTTATGTAACATGCACTGGGGGGTCAGGGCTGGTGCACAGGTGCAGCCACTTCAGGGAGAAACGGGGCAGATAATCCCAGAGCCGATCACACTCCTGTCACTTCTGCTCCTGCCGCTTGAGTAGACAGGTGTTTCCATCATCCTGGGCTTCTGGGGTAATTAAGGCTGACCAGGGGAGGGCGGTGCACAGGGATGAGATTAGTCCCAGCCGGAAGCTTCCCAGAAAGGGCCCTGGGGTTCCCGGTAGCCTCACCGGGGAGACTATTTGTCTGGAAGGGGCTCCTCTAGAACATGCCTCTTGTGGGCAAGGGGTTGGGGGAGGAAGGACCTCTACCCTCAAGGTTCTTCTGGTCGGTCTAATCATCAAATAGGAGACAGATTAGCAAGAGAAAATAAGCAAATTTAATTCCTCCTCCGGGAACCCCACATACAGGGGAGCCAGAGACCCCGCATGCATGGGCACCGGAGGTTCAGAGACAAAGGGAATGCGGGAACAAGACATCCTGAGCTGGGGATGAGCTAAGGTGCCTTGGGGGCTCACAGGGTCATTGCAGGGTAAGAAGAGCAGATGTTCAGGAAATCGCAATTCGTCCGGCGGTACAGATAGCTCAGAAGAGGTTATCACTGGTAATCAATTATGGACAAGGCCCCAAATTCCAGTTCTTCTAGGTAGTCAAGGGAGGGGCAGACATTTCTTTAGGGTCCACATGCAATGGATACTACTCAGCAATAAAAAGTTGCCTTCAGCCCTAGCCGGGTTGGGTCAGTGGATAGAGCATCAGCCTGCAGACCAAAGAGTCCCAGGTTCAATTCCAGGCAAGGGCATATACCTTGGTTGCAGTCTTCTCCCTGCCTGGGCCCTGGTTGGGGCTCGTGCAGGAGGCAACCAATCAATGTGTTTCTCTCACATCGATGTTTCTCTCTGTCCTTCCCGCTCTCTTCCACTCTCTCTAAAAATCAATGGAAAAATATCCTCGGGTGGGGATTAAAAAAATAATAAATTAAATAAAAATAACTGGAATTATAAGAAGGAAAAAAAAAGTTGCCTTCAGCCCAGCTGGTGCGGGTCAGTAGTTGAGCATCCACCTATGAACCAGGAGGTCACGGTTTGATTCCGTTCAGGGCACATGCCTGGGTTGTGGGCTTGATGCCCAGTGTGGGGCGTATAGGAAGCAGCCAATCAATGATTCTCTCTCATCATTGATGTTTCTATCTAAGTCTCTCTCCTTCTCCCTTCCTCTCTGAAATCAATTTAAAAAAATGTATTTTTTAAAAAGCCAATCTTGAAGGATTGCATACTATATGATTCTAACGCTATACCATTCCCCAAGTGATACTGTTACAGTGATGGGGAA